GAAAAAAAAAAAAAAAAACCTGAAAAAAAAAAATATACATCCTCTCCCCTAAATCTGCCATTGAGTGGAACAAACAAGAATGAGTTGAAAATGATTTATTTTATTTATTTATTTATTTAGCATTCATTCAAATACAACACACATGATGGTCTGAAACCCGACTGAAAATAATAAGAGATTTTATTTTTTAGTGAAGTAGGCCATCAGTAGCTGGTCATGTATTAAACACTCTCAGTTTTATTTTCTCTATTATCTTTGCTGAAAGTGTTTTGAAAATTTTATTGCTGTGGATCATTTATCTCATGTTGCTACTCACAGCCGAGTGACAGGCGCGCAGCTCAAACGCAGTGAAACCACTGTCTCTTATACACATCTAGATGTGTATAAGAGACAGGGAGTGCTCCCCCCACCCTCCCCGTCGGGGAGAAAAAGCACAATTCGTCTGGGAGAAAAAAAAATTATATGTATTTTCTACATATTAGTAGATACTAAAATCGATGAAATAAGCCTTTGAAACCCCTAAATTGTTAAAATTTTCGGGGGCTTCGCTCCCTGGACCACCTTTCGAAACCTTTTAATCGAAGCTTGACCACGCCCACATTGCTTTTGTAGGAGAAATCTAACCTTTCGTCTTGGGAATCGCCCCGCCCCCCACCGTTGGGCAAATCCTGGCCACACCCCTGCTATCTAGGCCAGATTGCCGAAACCCACATTGCCAAATCCTATATTGCCGCGTCTACTTTGCCAAAACCAGGTTTGCCAAATATCAAATTTCCAACTCCGAAAATTGTGAATGCTAGCACGAAAAACATTGATTATGTAAATGATTTGCTCACGGTAGTATTATATTGAATTTTAGAATTTAATCAGATTCCATTGAATGCAAATACTATTAATTTCCGATTCTCGTTTGATCGCTCTAAATCCAGCGGCTAAATCTCGGGATAAGAGTACATAATTAACTAAAACTAGGCTAAACTGGAGACGCCAAACAAAGAAAATATTTACCTGTTTATTCGAATAACACCCATGGGCGTTTATTTCTGAGAAGGGTTTTTGAGGGGGCGTTTATTCAAAGGAGGCGTTTATTTATTTATTTATTGGTGTAAAATAGATACGGGTATACTAAAATAAACCCGTTAATTTCACTGTAAATTTAGAACTAATACACATACCTTCAAAACGTCTTATCGTGTGATCATAAAGACTTACTGATCCCAACCATTAGCAAAATGTAATTCTACTGGAGTAGAACATTTAATAGAATGTGTTGAGAATAATGCTTTCATTAGATTTGCTTACATTCAATTAGGGGGCGTTTATATGAGGAAAAAATAAACTCAGCTTAGCTCTCAGTCAGCTAATCT